ATAATAATCCACTGGCATTTCAAATTGCGTCACATAATGTCGAACTTTTAAAAATTGCAAAAATGGGAGGTTTTTTTTTATTAACCTGACTGACAATGAATGCCCTGCCATCCTGGCAGACAGACACACTTCTTGAAGCCTCCATCTCCCACTGCGATGCATTGTCCGCCATTTTGACAAGGATTGGTGGAGCCACAGTTGACTTGAGCCCGTGAATTGAGTGGCACCTTTGCCACCACCTCGAGACTTGGCACTTGTCTAACACACGTTTCAATTCCATCGCTTGGTGGATGCTTCCATTCCAATCCACTTGCTTTTCCATTTCGCACAAAGACATGCCTCTCCTCCATTTGTCCATCACTTGGAAAGTAAAGCAACTCAACACCAGTTAGGCAACCGGAGAATCCACACCTCCGTCCCAAGGCTCTAGAAGACAGGCATCAAGAGGAAGAAAGGAGGAGGGAGCTTTGAAGGGCATGAAGCAAATCAGGCAGTGCGATGGCAGTAGTGGGGAAAATCAAATGATCTTCTCACCCATTCGGTGAAAGGCATCCAAGCACCAGTCCCATACCACGATTGTCAAGCATTGCAGCATATTCATCAGGTCGAATGAGTCGTGAACTAGCGCCTTCCACAGCACTGAAAGTGGTCAAACTGGCTACATAAAGACGCAAGTCTTCATCCTTTGTCACTTCTGCAGAAACTGTCATTGGAAGCGCTTCCAGTCTTTCCTTAGTCACAATGTAGCGCATTTTTCCCGTTCCCAGTTTACTCACATAGCTAAAGAAATGTGATGCAAATCAGGCGATCCAAAACATGCTCCCATACCTCACTTCCAAGTTGGCAGATGATGAAAGACCTATCTTGAGGAAGCTGTACTGACTGACTTGGTTGTTACGTTGAAGCACAAGGAGGGCAACATCACCCTCGGAAACGCTGATAGAAGGTGTGACATTGAGAGTGACTGTAAATGGAGGCGCTACAGACTGGCTGAAGGGTATAAATGCTGTGGACAATGGTGTCAAATTAATGCCCCACACCAATGCCTCCCCATCTGAGTTGGGCATTTTTGCCTTCCCTTCGACCACCTTTGACAGCGGTTCTACAAATCGCAAAGTAAAAAGAAAAACAGTCAAAAGAAAAAGAGAAATTTACAAAAAATTTAAATTTCAACTTGTCAAAAAGGGAACGGACCATTGCAATGCTCTCCTGTTAGTGGTTGCCCATCGGGGCAGATGTCACACTGCTGTCCACGAATGCCTGGTTTGCATTTACACTGACCCGAATCGGCATCACACGTGGTCACACTGATGGAACCGAAGGGATTGCAGGAGCAGCCTAAATTCACCACAAAAAGATACACATTTGAAAGTAAATGTCATAATAAAAGACAAGGTTGTTCTCATCAGACAAAGGTGTCATACCACTTTCTCTTTTTATCCTCCCAATGTGGCAATGGGAAATGGGGCGGGTGCCCGCTGTGCTACCTGCTTGATGCAGGACAAAAAGATTTGAGTGATACAGCGTTTGTCATCGATTGCCACCTTTGTTGTCTTGAAGTGAAGGTTGAGGTGTTCCTATTTCCTCGGGTTAAATTGTCTAGGTGGGTTTGGGTCCATCATTTGCCTTTAATTGAGTTGGATCCCCTCACAAACCCGAAGTACCACCCACAACTACATTTATTTTCTTGTGGCTGCAGAACGCGCAAGCAAAATTTGAAGAGGAGACGGAGGCATTATTAAATAAAATGACAACTCACTACTCTTTTCTGTTGTCTCTATCGGCTAATGCATGGGAGAAAGTGAGGTTCTGAGCATCAACTTTACCGGTCACAGCAGGACACCCCACAAAAAACCCCACTTAATGAGAGAAGACCGTTGAATATTCTCGTCTCGTGGTACCATGTCAACCTCACCTCGCCTTCACCTCCTCCTCCTCCTCACACAGCGGTGCAAAGGCAGTGGATGTCATGGTTGAGGGAGCATCATTAACCGTTTCCCTCTACTTCCACTGAGTTAGTTCGCCTTCCATTTGAGCAATCATGTAGAAAATCACTTTGGCTTGTCTCATTAAATAGTGGGAAAAGTGAAGGTGTAGCGGAACTTACTGACACACGGTTTGCCATTTGAAATGCCCCAATAGCCCGACGCGCATTGATCACATTTGGTGCCTTCAACACCCCAATGGCATCGACAACGACCTTTGCTGTCGCAGAATTGGTCACGTGATCCCACCTTGTTGCATCCGCAAGCATTTTCAATCACCTCATCTGTCAACACCAAAGGCAGTAAACAAAAAAAAAAGAATCAAACCCTTTTATTACTCTTTCAAGTGGTTGGAAATTGTTCTTCTCTCTTCTCACTCTCTTGCCTATCAGACGCAAAGAGTTCTCAGACAATAAAACTTAATTACATGCTCTTGGACACGTGACAAGAGACACATCAATCCAAGTGACAAAAGAAATTTCTTGTAAAGAAATAATAATAATAATCGTGAAGCAAAAAAAAAATTGTCTCAACATCGTTCACCTGCTTGTATGTCAATGGAGGTGGAGGTGTTGGTATTGAATAATGTGGGTTTGCGACAAGCCAGTCCAGAGCCGTCAATTTTCACTGTCACCTTATTGATACACGCCTGTCGTCGCAGTTCACAGGCACTGGGATACATACGACCATCAGTGCCACACACTTCACCTGCCAAACTGGGTTTGGGACAGCTCTCACGACACACACACTGTCCCCCCAAACATCGCATTCCCAGCGGACAAGGCTTGGCACAAGTGGCTACAAAAAAATAATAAAATATAACGCTATTTTTAATGTTACACAACTGACAGATTGATTAATGAAACCTTAAAGGTGTAATTCAACACTCTTCCTCCTTCATTTTTACAAGTTATTCTTACATGTCAACACTTTGATCACCACACACCGATGGCATACGACTTCAATGCTTACAATTGTAAAAGAAGTAAAATTGAGTGTACGGTGGTGATTTGAAGCACTTGTGTCTATCCACGAGGGTGTCCAACTATTTACCTACCAAATTTATTATTATAAAAAAAAAGTGAACAAATGGGTGCATGGGTAAATGCCAACTCCTTCATCATCCTTCATCAAGTGCACTGCAAACACCTTTCCCTTTCCCCCATCCCCTCCATCTCCTCCCCCCGTCCCCCTTCCTCCACAAAAATGGCATTTGACTTTGCTAAAATGAAAGGGGACAAACTGGTGGTTGAGGCAAAGGTGGAAGAGCTTGTTTGTTTGTTTGTTTGTTTGTATGTCTGGTGGATTTGGGGTTGTTTTGCGGATTAAAACACTCACCACATGGTTTAGTGTCAATTACACGGACATCCTTTTGGATGGAACAGGCGTGAACTTTCAACAGACACTCATTACTGTAGGTTCGACCATCTGATCCACAAACTGGCATATTAACCTAAAATAAATAAACAAACAAACAAAATATTCCAACCTCAGCTATCCTTGTTACTTTTGTGAATTTTTTTACACTTTAATTGTGGTCTCTAGCCTTTGTTGGTTTTTGTTGTTGTTGTTTTTTTTTTAAAGTTTTCTGCCTTCTTTGTTGCCTCCTCCCCTCCTTCCTCTTCCGTGTCCTCTATCAAATCAAAATGTATTTTAAACTATAAAAAGTATTGTCAAAAAGGCAGTCTTTTTTAGGGTAAGTAAGTGTGTCATTTGGGAGATTTAGTGGACATTCCTGAAGGGTTGGTGGAGGTGGCAGGGGACCTGCCACACCTTCCACGCCTTTGTGCATGGAAGGTGTTAACTTAATCACTTCAAGGGCGGAAAGAGTGGAACACTCACCATCAGACAGTTGGTGGGACAAGCGCAGAAGGCTCGACCAGCCTCGTCAGTTTGACACATTGAGTAGAATTGACATTTCTTATTCTGACAGGCATCTATTGAAAACAATATTTTTTTTAATTTAAAAATTGGCACACAAAAAACACATCCACGACAAGTAAAGTGCTTTATTGGACAGCTTCCTAAGCCAGTCGGTGGGTCGAAAGAGTGGAATGAGCTGTTAGAGCGGTGGTGTTTCTGTGTCCTCTCTCGCCTCCGTTGACAGTGAATTCTGTCGTAGCAATTTACTACTTCCAACTACCTGAACAGGATGGAGGAGATTGAAGCGCCTCTTAAACGAGATTAATCACAAGCAGTAATGGCATTGAAGGAGGTCTTTTTTATTCTCTACTTTTTTTTGTCCCACTTCTTCCACCAATCAGTCAATACTTGATGACGCTCACTTCATCCATCCTCTGTAGGAGCACAATGCTTGCACTGCCTTTCAACTCGTCTGTCTTCAATTTGTGTCCTTTCAAAGGCCCTCCTTCCAAGAGACCTCCACACTCCAAACACACCACCCATTCATTACAGCGTTGCAAGCAGGAGACCACTTAGGAGGAAACAATTGATACAGAGGAGAAAATTTTGTGTGTCCAAATGAAGTTTCCAGTGAAGTCTCCCCTTTTGCAGAGGACATCAGAGGGAGTGGATTGTAAAGTAGAATTTAGGTCTTTTACAACTGTGAAATGATTCACCCTGTAGGCAAGTCTTGTGATGACCTAACGACAAGGACACCTCACAAGTGTCATTTACTTTAATGCACCTTCAGTCAGACCATTGAGAGACAAAGAGACTGGTCTGGCTGCTTTACTACTGATAAAAATAATGCCAATTTGAATATGAAAAATTCGCCTTAAGACTCATCATCGGTCATCTACTGCGTCTTCAACAACCTCATCCAAACGCATAGACAACTTTGGGAGGTGGAAAGGGGCAAATTTTAGTCCCCTATGAAGGCAACACTTGTGATGGCCTCACACAATGTCTTCTGTAAGGCATAACAGAATTTACTTGACCAAGACTTAGGTTTACGCTGAAATAATTTTGATGTAAGAAGGCGACAGACTGTTCAACAATTCCTGTTCCCATTTTATTCCATTAAATCAGTACTTCACTACTCACCGCATGCACCACGTTGTCGAATTTCGAGGTCAGAAGAGGCAGTCTGACAAGCAGCGGCTCGTAGGTGACATTCACTTCGATAGGTTCGTCCATCACTTCCACAGACCTTGCCACCCAAACCACTCTCGGGACAGATGGGACAGGTGCACTTGGGAGATGGAGGAACGTAGGCAAGAGACATGTCATGATTCACTTGACTGCTCTCCTGGCTGCATATTTCATAACGCCGACAATAAAGTCCCTGTCTTTCACACACGTTTCCTAGAAGGACTGGAAAATGAGAAGTACTTTATTAAATGTGGGATAAAATTCACCGAACAACAGCGGCAGTTCACAAAATCTTCTTCCATGAAAAGCCATGAAACTATCTTTCCACCTCTCTTTGACAAAATTTTGAATTTTAAACCCAAAAATTTAGTCTCCACACCTTTACTGGTTAATAACCTCTGTGGCTGATGATGATGGACTACGTAGATTACTTTCCGAAAATGTATCTTTTGGGTGGCAACAAGCAAAAAACCAGTTTTGGGCTTTGTTAGCAATTGCCTATATTTAACTAAGGGGAAGGAGGAGGACAACAAGGGAGAAGGGGTAGAGGAGGTGGAGAAGGAAACAGGAGGAGGAGGAGGAGGAGGGGAAGAAGAAGAAGAAGAAAAAGGAGGAGGAGGAGGAGGGAGGAGAGACTCACCGCACTGTCCAGCATAAACAACCCAAATATGCTTCTTTTTGAGACAAGCTGTTCGTAGAAGGTGACAAACACTGTCATAGGTGATGCCATCTGAACCACAGACAGGCACAACAATAGGTGGACACCGATCTGGACAGATACACGTCTTTCTGCCTTGAATGTCCACTCTGCACTCCTCTCCAGGCCATGGACAACCCTGCTCCAAGCACGGATTCATACCTGCAATCCGTAAATAAGGATTGGGAAATGTCAGTACTTCAAGTCAACCGCCTTTTCCTTTTATTGATAACGCAATAAACCTCACACTCTTTTGTACAAATTAACTAGTTTGTGGGTTAATGCTTCGTTGGAACGCGGCCAAAACTGTCACCGTGTCCAGGCCTATGCATTTGGGAGAGACGACTAACAAAAGGGCATCGAAGGGTGCACCGAACCCTTTATCGTAACCACCAGGCATTACAAATGCCGTAACCTCCAAAGAAATTCTTAGCCCCACCAAAATACTGCATTGGATAAAGTAAAATCGCAAAACTAGACAACCTTACACAACATGAAGGTCTCTAGAAAGGGAGTGGGAAGGGAGAATAAAGGAGAACCAAAACTTTGTCAAAGTTAGGTTAAGAGAAGGAAAAGGCGGACACCAAGGACTACAAACCAAACCCGCTTTCCAGTAAATGAGTGAAACCGCCTAAATAGGACACAAAAACTTAAAAAAAGAGTGCTTTAATAAGTGACAAACCAGCTGCACAGTTGTCATCGAATAGAATTCGAAGTTGTTGATCTCTTAGACAGGCTTGCTGTCGCATAGTGCAAATACTGGCGTACGTTCTACCATCATTGGCACACACCGGTCGATTCATTGAGGCATCACACTCCTCCTCACCACAACGACAACTTGGAAGTCGTCGTTCATCCAATCGACACACCGAATCCACTGGACAATTAACTGTATCACATGGATCTGGGCGTGGTAGGAAGGTTTACACAACTCAGAGATGGGAAAAAAAAAGTGAATTTCAGTGAGAACTTTACCCTTCTATCCTACGCCAAGACACTTAAAGACAACAACTACAAAATAGACTTTGCTAACACCGTATGAAGTGCTTTGTTATTATTATTTATTTATTTTTTTTTTTAATGTAGCAGATTATGAAGAGGTAAGGCTGACATACCACAACGGCCCCAATACTTTACGGAAATATTAACCTTGAGAGAGCATGCTTCTCGCTTAAGATGGCACACATTCTTGTAATTTACACCATTGGACCCACAAACTGGAACAGACTCATCCGAATCCCCCAAATCATAGCACGTCTGATGACAAACACATCGAGGCGAGGTGAAATCGTCCGAGGGTATGCACCAAGCATTGAATGGACAAGTGTACCCTTGACAGGGATTATTCACCCCACTGCCCAGAGGAAACCGATACCGAAAACACCGATCATCTCGAAGGGGAGATGTGTAGAGAGGCAGAAGGACAAGTAACCAGAAAGTTAAAGTCATGTAAGTTAGTTAAATGAGGGTAATGCGAGTAACAGTGAGTGGTAACGATGGAGCCAATGGGGGAATGCGAAGGTAGTCAAGGCGTCATCCTTATTGGTGCACACACATTGTTCAATTTGTCAACTAACCTTGATTGGATGTTTTGCAGGAACCACTGTGAAGTTTGTGCTTGGGAGATTGTTGAATACAGGCAGCTTGTTTGAGAAAACAGTCGCCCGGATAGGTGACACCATCATCACCACAGATGGGCTCTTTGTACCACTTCTCGGAGCATCTGTAGTGATCACATGTGCACACTGAACTTGACGTTTCGGTTTGATGGCGTATCAGTGAATAGGTGGCAACGTTGTAGGAGGAGGAGGAGGAGGAGAAGACTTGACTATTTGACACACACATAGCACCAAATTGACAGTAGTTTGCATGATCGCAAAATATTGGCTCGATATCTAAAAGTGGGCATTATTAAACCGAATCTTTTTTAAAGCTGAATAGAACTTTGTAAAAACAAAATGTCTCCATCCATTGGTAGTCAAGCTTTTGAGGCTACTTTTGACTGTGTGATTTTACTTTTGCAAAATAGTTTGATTTTATGAAGGCAACACGTCGGTGGTTATCATCCGACTCGATCTCCTTCTCACTTCTCGCCTCCTGGTCCTAACAGAGACACTTAAATCGGTGGTGGTGATCTACTGGGGCAGCAGGAAACTCAATCGTGATGATTGGGAAGCGAATGTGCTCCTGTCCCAACTGCTGCCACGCTTATGGACGAAGGTGGAGAGGTTAGTCGTAGCTCTGGTTAAAAATAAAAACAAATGGAGATACGGTGTGAGGGAGGATTGAAGATGGGTGCTTAGAGGTGCGAGGGGTGAGTGGAGGGTTTAGGGACAACCAACCTCAAAGATGCACACAAACAAGTTTGGTGAAAAATCCACTTTTAGAAATGTATTTTTATAAGGTAGATAAAAGGAAAGGGGACCAAATTTATGGTCTTTGAAGGTGATTGTCACTCGTTAATGTATTAGGGTGGCACCCATTCATTTAGTAGTTTTAACGACCTTCCATGTTTATGTAAATGAAAGCGAATTGTCTCATCACTCAAATTAAACATTAACACACGGTAATCTACTATTGTTTTAATTAACAGTGATACGCAATTCACCATTCCAATTAAGAATGAAGAGGCGGTTTGAATGCGAGGCAGTGTTACGTGTTTCTTCTGCCGCAGCCCTCGTCGTTGGTGCGCAGGAGGACGGATAATCGCGGATACTTGGCTTAACTCTCAAGTTTTGGGTAAACAAA